TCTGGTTTAAATTGATATCCAAGTACACAAATCTAAATTAGTATCCAAGTGCTCAAATATCTGAATTAAAATCTGAAGATTCATTCTGACACTCTGATTTAAATTGATATCCAAGAACTCAAATCTAAATCGGTATCCAAGTACTCAAATATCTGAATTTAATTCTAAATCATTTCTAAATTATTTAATATCCTGATTATAAAATATTATTTTGATCAATAAATATTTAATATCCTCGTATCCAAATTTTACTTTAGTTCTAAACGAATATCGGAATGCTCAGATATCCGAATTTGATTTTGAATCTGTAGATACATTCGCACGTTCCGATCAAAATTGACGAAACCTGGAGCAATAAGGGCCCAAATTCAAAGCACTTTGACGTCGATGAACAGACGCTAACGGAATTGTAAACTTTTTAGAGGGGCAGTCAAGCAGTATCTATAACCGCGTCTATCATCCACACCGTATTCGCAGTATTTATATTACTTTCTATAATACTGGCATCTGTATCTGTATTACCATGGTTGGACTTCCTTTATTACTGCAGTTACGTTAAATTGTGCATAACGTTGATCAAATACGTTCCGCAAGCGGTTTACAATTACAAACGGAAGTCCACAGTCGGCTGGAGCATCGGCAACATATTATTAGACTTTACCGGCGGCATTCTGTCGATGCTGCAGATGATATTAAACGCGTACAATTACGGTAAAGTATAGCAATACCCACTTTGCAATTAAGACACCGTATCGTTCTTGGAATATTAACGGCCAATTTCTCCGCCAGATGATTGGGACAGTATTTTCGGAGATGCAACGAAATTCGGTCTGGGATTCTTTTCGGTTGCGTTCGATATATTTTTCATTATACAACATTACGTTTTATATCGGTACGTATACACTTTTCCGCTATTACGTTCGTCATTCGCCATCTACTCTCACTAACCCGTGCATGGCTTAACAGTATGAAAATGAATCCGTAGAATCGTAGCTAACAATATCCGATATGTTCACGTCGCACGATCCCGTTTTATTGCTGTGGGGCACGGATCGCTTCTAGTCAATTCGTTAACAAATTCAAATGGTAAATTTCTCGCTTTTTTTCTCGTTGTGTATAAATTATGTTTCTTATATTTCGTTACCTATGCAGGGTATTAACAATTAATAATAGGTGTTAATAATTACGTTAACACCGTAAAGGGACGATTCCTGAGGTCATTTGGAGTAACTTTTTCCTTAGCGGAAATGCAATCCGCGGTTTCATTAACAAGTTATTGACCAAAAGACAATGAACAATGGGAGACGAGATCGGTTGGCAGGAGGCGGCCGAGCCAGTCGGCAGAACTGGGCTTCGTGCGTTCGTTGGCTGAACCGCCTCGCGTCAGCCGAGCTCGCCTCTTATTGGTCATTGTTCTTCCTTAATAACTGATAAATAAAGTCGCGGATTACATTTTCGCTAAGAAAAAAGTTCCTTCAAATGACTCGAGGAATCACCCCTTTCCGGGTATTAACATAATTATGGAGCACCCTGTATAGCTGTCAAATTACGATCGCATGCTTATCATAGTTGAATATCGACGTAAGGGATGAACAGAAGTGATTTATAACCTTTAAATTTTGATCGTGACAAGGTAACCGCCGCAAAAGAGAAACGCGTTGGATTGTAAATAGTTCTCGCTGTATATATTCAACGATCGCCTTCGCCCTCGCCTCCCCTCCTCATTTCGTATCGCACACGTATCCTGCAAAATCATCAATTCTTACAGTCTAGATACCGAGAATGGAACAAGTGACGAGACGCTTCATAAACAAGACGATTTATATAACAAGGAAAAGGGGACGCTAAAGAATATTTTCTGTTGCCGTTCGTGAGACAGAGATACGTAGATGTTCCGCGGTAGAGGAGAGTGTTTCCGTTGCAAAATGCATTTCATTAGTAACGAGAACCCAGTGCACAGTATTCGATATATTCTTAATGGGACATTCCATAGAGAACATTCCATTCACTATTTTCTTTTCTTTTTTTTTGCAACGTATACGGAACCGTCGTTGAGATTATTTAACCGTTTTTTTTGTCGTCGGGCGTCTAGAATCTCTATCGATTGTTAATTACGGAACAAATGCGAGAAAGTGGGGACATACGATAGATCGATAGGTGTATATATACATTTTGTATAGACTCTAGCGCGTTAGAGGTCGATTCGATTCGAGCGAGTTAGGGATATTTTCTGCGCAAGAATTACATGGTCCATGAATTGGCGGGGATAGTTCTGCCGTCGACTGAAAATTACGTAATGTAAATATATGTCACAGTGCCAGATCGAGTAATTGCGAATAAACGAAAACTATCGATTCAGTATCTGTGATGTTGCGATCGTAGAACATTTTGAGGCACAGAAGGTGGTGGTATCGTATTTTTAGGTTACCGTTTCAAACGTATCAATTTTACCATCGGTATTCCTTTGTTACGATAAACATTTCAAAAAAGAAAAAGAAAGAAGCACTGAACACGCTGTAACTGTCAAGATCCTACGTTTATATATTTATACATCGATGTTGTTGTTGTTGCAATAAAAATTGTTCTTGCGTTTCTCTGCGTTCTGATCTGTCACAACGTTTCGCGACATATCGTTCGGAATCATTTATAATAAGTTCACACCGTCTGTCGGCGCTGCATGTCACGTGCCTGGTAGCATACAGAGGTTATGTCGAGATATACAGAGGGCGAATCATTGTTCTCGCAATTTAGTCCGCCGTTGGGATACGGATTAGATCGAATAAAATTTTGTGGGACAATGAAGCTTTGGAATGCGTGCAATTTACTTATCTCGCACGATAAGACGGAAGGTCGCCGGTTGTTTAATAAGTAATCGACGCGTGTGTGTCCCGAGATATGTAACCTTCCACCTTTTCTTTTCCGAACCTCCAGTCTCCGACCCCCCCTATCAATGTGCGTGTGCGCGTCATTGCGTGGATAATTGTTAACTAACCAACACTAATCAAAACACTTGATTACGAAACGATACCAGCATCGAACGAAGTGTTCTCTTCCCTTTATCTATTCTCGATCATTCTCTTTCTCCGTCGTCACATTAGCTAGTAAATGGTGTGCTAAATAAAGATTACCGAGAGCTCCTTTCTACAGGGACCAGAAAGAATACATTGTAATACCTGGTAGCAATAACGGAGAGCCGCAAGAGGATCCGTCGACGGACGCACTCGTTTGATAGTGCAGGATTAACTTACTTATAATTATTCCTAATAAAAATAAAAACTGCGATACCAACTACTTATCACCGGTGGTCAAGAACGCCGATACACCATTATGAACGCAAACGATGCTCGATCAGGATCCATTAAACGACAATTAACGCTTACGTGCCGAAGCATTGACCAATAAGAACAACGTCGACGACACCTAACCTTTGTCAGCCTTGCGACAAGTTCTCTACCAAATAATAAGCCGTCCTCTACTCTTTTCTCTCATCAATTAACGATACACTTGCAGAAACCAGGCATTTCGTAATTTGAATTCGAATCCAATATCGAATCGCGATTCGATTCGATACATCGTTCGATCGACCAGCAGTCACATGACCTCTCGAAATCTGCGCAGAATGTGTTTCTCGTTTGAGGTTGCATGGTTCAGTGTCGTTCTGTAGAAGAGAGGTACGTTCCGTTTGTTTCGAGCAGAAATATTGTTATTTTTATATGAGATAGTTCAATTTTACGTAAGTATTCGACAATTCGCACCGAATGTTAACGAATAATGCTACAGCCATGTTTGAATTCTATTCCTAAACTTTTGGATACTTTGTGTCTCAAATATAACCTAAAACTGTATCTAGCTTTAGTTAATTCACATTTTTGATTGAACACTTTGACCGCCGATTTGATATCCTCAGGAACTTCATACAGTTAAAGTATTTGATTTAACGAAATCAGAATTGAAAGATTGAGATGCGTATTATCGATTACTTTCACGATCTTTGCACTCTGCGTATTAAATTTGGAACGGCTATTAATGTTAAAATGAATCTGTAAATTTGGACAGATCTTTTTGTTGATGCTCACAATTGAAAACTCTTTGGAACAATTTTTAGTAAACGACTGTTTGTATTTCAGAATGAACGTGTCTCCACTCTTGCAAATATCACTGTCTGCCGTAATCATTCGCAGAAGTCTTAATTGCTGGACAACTGGAATAACGAAGAAGCATAGAAAATTTTACATGAGAACTTACCCCACGCACCTCGTTTATCCGGATGGTAGCACTATCATTATCGAATATCATGAACCGAGGGAAATAATCAAGCTTCCTTTAGATATTGAAACACTTACAAAAGAAGAACGTCTACAAAGGCTAGCGGCTCGTAAGACGTTAAGCAAAGTGGTTGTCGAGAAGGAGGAGGACCTTGAATTCGACGAAAACAAGTATTTTAAGAAAAAATTGTAATGTCCATCGTGATCTTATAGTCATCCATCATTTATGAAAGGAAACCTTTCGTTTTGTACATTTGTTAAAAGAAGATCTTTGTATTGTGTTTCGTACTGAATCATGAAAGATGTGAGGACACCTGTAAAATATGTAATTAATCATCCATATGACTTCATCATAACTTTATCGCGATTAGAACATCATCGATAGAACAAAGAACATCGCCAACTGTAAGCTGAAATGCTTCTTAATAAAAGTATAGCTATATTGTTTTTTAAACACTATGGAATTCTATTTATCTGAACGCTATCATAGGAGTGTATACAGCTCCGACAGCTATGGTCGATGACACTTGACCCAGCTGACACAAGTAGTGTCAGCAGTCTAAGATAAAAGCTAAATGGAATTTTACCGCGTTACACATTGTTATTAAATCCTCTAAAAGTATATATATAAATTTATTGACTTGTTCTGAGCTTGTTGCCGGGAAACATTTATTTGTACATTAGCGTGTGCAAATCGAGAGATAATTTCAGTTCTTTCAATCCATGTCAGAGGTCAAGAACAATTAATTACAGATCATGTAAAGCCGCTGATCACGAGAATTGTTAACGCGATTGTCAATGGCAAAAGTGAAAGCAAATGATTGCGGTCTCCCTTGTGTCGCATGTGCCTGCCACCGCACCATACGCGCACGTTTTCATTACCATTGCGCGATCCGAGGGGCACGATGGCGCTCCACAAAAAATTATGAGCCGCGAGATACATCTTTTATTTTCTCTTCGATAATCACGAATGAACTTTCTCCGACGGCATCCGTCTCTTCTTCTTAACACTATCTTCGTCAAAGGGGTCATCGGACAGCTTTTAAAATTTTAATACCATTCCTACCATCGGGGTGGTAAGTCACTTTTTTACAATTTTTAGTTAACAGCATTTTTACCAAAGTTCTCGAAAGGTATTTTCGATGAATTAAAGATGACATTATTTTGATTGTACGGGTCGAACGATGCTTTTTACAAGTTTAATATGACGCTGCTTTTACTGACGGGGTCAAAAAACACGTTTAAAAATTTTAATTTAACGTTAGTTTTATCAAAGAAGCCAAAGTGGACCTATTGGTTTAATTGAACACTATTTTTATATTTTGTTTTTCTTTCCATCAAATGTTTCCCATCACAAATGGTCTGATCAGTGTAAACTTTATAGTATGAAGGAAGAACTCACAATATGAAGGACAAAGTAACTTTTCGTTTTAGACATTTAATTGCAACAGCAACCGCATTGGACGAGGAAGATAGGAGTATAAAGAAGAGAAGGGAAAGGAATTGTAGCGTTCAGCCAATTTGGAGAAACCAAAAATCGAAGGAGAATTTCTCTTAAGTAAACAATTAATCGACTACAGTTCAAAATTGTATTTACACCTTCGAATATCAAAAGGTTCATTCAACATTCATAAACGTTGCATAAAATTGCAAAAATTCAGCCGATAGTTACGAAAGAAAGTCAATATTATCGACGGAACGTTTATATTAAAATTAATGCAATTGCCAAAAGTTAACACCGCAATGGTAATGACGACAGTACGGAGGTCAGAAAAGAAAGAAACGAACTCGTACAGAAATCGTTTAATGTACTTGCTGTGTATTAAACTTACGTCAGAACACACATTTGTATTTCTCATATTTTTGTAGTTATACCTAATGGAAGAATATACTCGATATTTCTATTATTTTTTAATTATGAATTTAACGGAATTCTGTGTTCATTTTAGTCACATTTTAAAGGGGCAAGTCTTATCTTTCTTCTGCAAAAGAAATAGCTCCTCCAAATAGAACGTGAAAGATATTTTTTTTAATGACAATATAACATAACAATGCAACCATACATTTTGTCTTCAAATGTCATCAACTGTACACGACATCTAAGCATTGATTGCTTCATGTGCATTCGTGAACAATGCACTAAAAATTTTAGACTTGTATTTCTTTTCCTTGGTAAATAAATAAAAAGATGAATAAGTAAGAAAAACTAGTGAGTAGTCTAATAAGTAAGAAGCTAAGTGAGTACTCCAATGAGTAAGAAGCCAAGTTAGTAGGTAAATAAGTAAGAAGACAAATGAGTAGGCAAATAAGTAAGAAGGCAAGTGAGTAGCCAAATAAGTAAGTAGGCCAGTGAGCAAGAATATTAGTGAGTAAGCCAGTAAGTAAGAAGACAAATGAGCAAGAATATAAGTGAGTAGGCCAATAAGTAAGCAAACAAGTGAGTAGCAAAATAAGTAGACAAGTGAGCAAGAATATAAGTGAGTGGGCCAATAACTAAGAAGGCAAGTAAGAGAGCAAATAAACAAGTAGGAACTTATCTTCAATTATTTCATCATCAGGCAATAATTTCAACATGCGATTAACTTTAGTCTGAACAAATTTGAGAAACGTACGAATGAAAATTGATCGAATCCAGCGACGATTGCCACAACTAATCGAAAGTGTCCGCCATCGAAAGGTTAAAACGCTTCATCCGATCACAGAATAAACAGTCGGAATATGCAATCCGGCGCATCGTCGCATACACGCTGCAGTTTCACTTCCAATTCATATTTCTCCGCCGCGTGCCACGACTCTGATTATCGATCGACTATTATTTTTCACAACGAGACGGTCAGCCGTTGTTCCCGGTGACATTGTTACACGTGTACCGCGACGAATATAGGCCGCGATAGTTGGAATGTCAACAGGAAAGAAAAGCCGGAGGACCGTAACGGGAGCAGGAAGTCTTCCTCGATCGCATCGATCATTCCGTATCGCCCATTGTTCGCTCGAAAGCCGGCTACGTCGCCTTTCTAACGCGAGAGTGCCCATTTTCGGTGCCGGCACGGTGATATAATATTTGGTAATGCGCCGTACGTCTGTAATTGTTCAGGATGCTTTCGATGATGGTGAAACTGGCTGTTGCGACACCCCCCCCCCCCTCCGAGAAAATTTCGCGGCCTTACCGTTGGCCAACAGCGTACAGGATGTTCCACAAGACAATGCCTCCGAGAAATAGTGAACGAAGCCCACGGAACAATAGGCGCCTCCTTTCGAAACGCCTCGACGTCGATTATAATCTGTTAGCACATTTTTCATTATTTTTAAAAGGCTGGTCTTGTACCGCCATTTCGATCGCTGCCAATACAGGAAATTAAAATTACGATTATTATAAATATTCTAAATAATAATTATATAAATATCATATTTTATGTTATATATAATACATTATATTATAATTATTATTTAATATTATAAATAACATGGCTAAGGTTTGGGTTCCAACTAAGGTCAGGATTAATGTTGATCGTCAACCTAGAAAAATTTAATTTAAAAAAAATGGAATCTAGAGACGACTTTACAATTTCTAATCACCACGTCTGTACCAACGGACTGATGCAGACGAAGAAACGGAAGAACCGACGGAGGCTGGAAACAAGATTTTCATCGACGGTGTCACCTTTCCTGAAGCGTCCTGTACCACAGCCAAACGGTAAAGCTCCAATACGCATTGGGAATTAATTGCAAGTGAACGTGAATCGTCACACGCGTCGCGCATTTGCGCGCACTGGTGAAAAAAATAATAGAAACACGTTGATTGTGGTGCCGGACGGACTTTTTCCGATGGCATCATGAAAGTGACAGATGATTCCTGGCACTGTGAATTACTCTTGCATAGATATTGCGTCGGCCTCCATCCGCGTTGCAGCGACTGGTCAACCGCTCGCTGTCAATTTACACGTCCCGTGCGCGGGCGTTTCGCAATGATTTCACTTTTTGGTACCTTGGCGCGCGACATTACGGAGAGAACTATGTGTTATGAAATTTAATATTTGACGAATGAATATTTGTTGAGAAGTTAAACAACTTTTAATGTTACACTAATGTTACATTAAATGTTACGTCAATGTTACATTACATTAATGTTACATTTAATTGTAACATTTAACGTAACATTAGTGTAACATTAATGTAACATTAGTGTAACATTAATGTAACATTAGTGTAATATTAACGTAACTTTAATATTACATTAAATGTTACGTCAATGTTATATTAAATGTTACATTAATATTACATTAAATATTGCATTAATGTTATATTAATGTTACGTTAATGTTACATGAAATGTTACGTTAATGTTACATGAAATGTTACATTAAATGTTGTAACAATGAGTTACAATACGTTAATGTTACATTAATGTAACATTTAATGTAACATTAATGTAATGTTAACATAACATTTAATATAACATTGACGTAACATTTAATGTAATATTAATGTTACATTAATGTTACACTCATTGTTACAATTAAATGTTTATAGCGATGTATAAAACGCATTGTATATATTGCAACATTGTTTCATTTAGAGCATCCGATAAATAAAAAGAAAATAATAAAATCAAAGAACCATAAATAAGTATACCTGTGCGCTTACGATAGTGGTGCTCAGATAGCTAATCTACAATGATAATAAAACCAAACTTTAGTATTTACGATTTTAATGTAACGGCAGGTTTCGTGGTCTAGATAAACGGGTTCCGAGGGATTCCAAACGATCTGAGGCACGCGCGACGTTGATCAGGCGTCGTCTGACCACGACTTGCTCTATCCACTGACGCTCAGTTGTCGAATCTTCAGCGCTGCACCTACCGGAAGTCTGTCAGCATCTTGTCTACGGCGACATATTAATTCACGAGCAAAATTACCGTGATTGAACAATTTCTTAAATCACCTTCTGACTCTAAAGTAGAAAATTGACATCCCTCGATCCAGGATAAATTGATCAACTACGATGAATTGAAGAATGCGAGTCGTAGATCTTTTGCGAACACGTATTAAAATCGGCATAGTTGATATATTTTTCTCTCGTCATATACAGGGTATCCGGAAAGTTCCGCGAACTTTCGACTTACGAGAAATTGTCGACGTTCAAACTGTTATAATTTCGTAAAAATTAATCGTAGAACGACGAGCCCCGACTCATTTTGAAGCTCGAAGCTTCTACTTTCGCTATGTATCATTCGTTTTCTCGTAACATGTCTCTGCGTAAATTAGCAGATAGGAAACCGGAAGCATATTCTCGCTCGAAAATCTCACGAATTGGAACGTCTCTAAATACCTTCGGAAATTTTTTACGGGTTTGATATTATCACAGAATTGAAGATCAAAGCCTCCTCTTTACAACGAGCCCCTAAACTTCGAGCCACGATTTTATTTCGTCGATTTATCGAGGTTCGAACGAAAGGTGCGCTGCATTGTGTTACTTCGTAGCCGTACAAGGGAAACGAGGATCGACCGAACTTGTTCCTCGTTTCTGTTCCATAAAACGACTAGGAAAAATGGTGCGCCTAGTTTTGCGGGCTCGTTGTGAAGGGGAAGCTTCGATCTTCAAATCCATGACAAGTTGATGTACGAGACAAATTTTATAATGTTTTTGGAGAGGGTTCAAGTTGTAGCAATTTCGCGTAGATATACGTCTTCAGTTTTCCGCCTGGTAAATCCTGTTGGAAAATGTTCCGAAACAATGAACGATGAATTGCGAAACTCGAGGCTTTCGGCTTTAAAACAAGCCAAAGTTTATTGCTCTGCGACCAATTTTCACGAAGTTATGACAGTTAAACATCGTCGAAAATCTGAGATCGAATTTTATCTAATCGACGGGGTATAATTTTATTAATAATCTGTAATAAATTGAATTCGGTTAGTTAATTAGTCTCCATTGATCCCCAACAATCGTTCATAAAATGTTCAATTTCTAAATCGAACGAGGAAAATTGTTCCTGAGGTCATTTGAAGCAACTTTCTCCTTCGCGAGAATTTTCTCCGCGGCTTCGTTAACGAGTTATAAACGAAAAACACTGACCAATAGTAGAGTGAGTGCGACGCGGCGCTCCGTCCTTGCGTCAATATCGCGTCGCGCCGGCCGTGTGACGCAGCGTCAGCGCTCGCGTGGGCGGAGCGCCAGCCGCGCGCGGCCTCTCATTGGCCAGTGTTTTTCGCTAATAACTCGTAAACGAAGCCGCGGAGAGAGTTCTCGCAAAGGAAAAAGTTTCTCCAAATGACCCGAGGAACCTATTTCCCGGAGGTGACATAATTTCGGGGCACCCGCTTCGACTCTTGGTCGGCTATAATCTCAATGGAAAAAAACAATGCCAAGCACCGTAACAATCGCTTGCCATAAATTCGACCGCCTTCCCGTTTAGATAACAGATCGACACCGCGGAATCGGCGTTGTCAGCGCCGCTCGAAAGAGATCGACGGCGGAGGTGGTCGATCCTGTCCGGGGCGATTCGTCGCGTCGCTTAAACACCGTTCGCTTGCGGCAGGTAAAAGACTGGCGGCGCCGGTATGGTGGGAGTCAGTTCTGTTATAGTAGGCCACGAGGTAGCAGCTCTGGTGTTCCCGCAGGTGTAGGCACACGGCCAGAGCCCGAGCCGAACTCTCTCTTAGTTTCTGCTGGCGCAGCAGGCCTCTCGTTTTGTCGGAGAGCGCGCCGCTCCGTGAAAAGCCGAGCCTCTCGCGGTCGCCGCGAAAGCGATCCACCGGGCCAACCGAGATCGCGAAACCCGCGTGGAACCGCGTCGACACGATCGCCAAAATAATTCAAAATTAATAAATCGAAGTTCGCGCGACCAGCGATCGAGCCGCAACGATCAACCGACGACCTGGCGCGACCAGCCGAAGCGTGACCGTCGGCATGGAACGGCTTCGTTCGTGCAGCCACGGATCGGTAATGTGATCGCACAAGTGCCCGGATCATTCCGATCGGCCAGCACACCGGGAGTTTCGTAACAGTGAACACGATCCACGCCGATTCCACTTCGAGTCTGATCATCGTCGATCGACCGAGACATCCTGGTGTCCCCGCCGTTTCGAAGGAGAAAGCAGCCGAAGCTGAGCGGTCGAAATCGGTAGAAATCGGTCCTCGGCAGACGTCCGAGTCGCCGGAAACATCCGCGGGGAACGCGAGCAAAATCTTCTGGCAAGGACGCTCGAAATTTGCACTGGGAGTGAGGAAATTGGAATTGGAGATCGAACGGCGCACTTGGGGCTGCTGGAATTGTATTTGAAACTCGAAGCTCGAAATTTGAACTTGAAGCTCGGAAATTGCACTCGAAGCTCGAGAAATTGTACCCCAAGCTCAATAATTGCACTCGAAAGCTAAAAAGTTGCAAGCGAAGCTCAAAATTTCTGATTAAGGTCCGAAAGTTGCACGCGAAGCTCTAACAATTGCACTGGAGAGTAAAATTTTAAGTCGAAGGGTGAAATCTCCGCTCGATACGCGAAGATTGCGCTCAAAGCTGGATAGGTTGTGCTCGAAGTTGCAAAGTTGCAACTTGACACTCGAAAATTACAACTTGACGCTTGAAAATTGTAACTTGACACTTGAAAATTGCAACCTGACACTCGAAAATTGCAACTTGAAACTCCATAAATTATATTTGAAGTTCGAATATTGCAACTTGCTGTTCAAAAAGTTGCAGACAATGCTAACAATCTCGATTGAAAGCTCGAAGCTTGAACTTAAAGCTTTAAAGTTGCAACTTGAAATCGGAAAATTGCAACTTGACGCTTGAAAATTGCAACCCGAAGCTCGAAAAATTATACTTGAATCTCGAACATTGCAACTTGGTATTAAAAAGTTGCAGTCGATGCTAACAATTCGAACTCGAAGTTTGATATTTCTACTAAAGGCTAAGAGAATTGCGCTCGAAGTTTGAAATTTGCCCACCGAGTTCAAAATTAGAACACAAAGCGGTTTCCACTGAAAATTCAAAGTTTGAATCCGGAACTCGAAAAACTCGCTCTCGGATCTCGAAATTTGCGCTCGAACCCCGAAATCTGCACCGGAAGAATCGAGAGTCGGCGTACAATAGGGGTCGATAAAGAAGGGAGCCGCGTGTGTCGAAAGACCGGGAGAAATCGACGGAAACGTCGAATCGTGCTGGTCGAGCCGGCAGCGATCGATCGTCCTTTTCTCCGTGTTCAGCCGTTTCTCCGGATCCTCTGTTGTTTACCGTTCACGCCGACGAAGCCAGACGGTAGAATGAAAGCACGCTGACCTTTCGCGTGCATCGAAGCTGCTTCACGCTAACCGACGGACCCATACACGTGCTCCTGCGATCTTCGAATCGGCGCGCGAAGAGACAATGGAGTTTTGAACCTGGGATCTTGCATTGCCGGCTGATCCACCTGACGTGAGATGATTGGCAAATTGACCGTGTGCTTTTGGATACTCGGATGGATCAGCAGCTACGGTGAGTACGCCGAATTGTTGTTCAACTCTTTGCACTCGAAGCCATCCTAAATGTAAATCTGAAATAATTTTTCTGACTTGTAGCATTTCCATTTTATATTTACTTTTTTTTTTAATTTTACACTTTTCATAAATTTTGAAATTTGAACTTTGTTGATATAAAAATGATCTCGGGACGTGATATAACAATTTTAGTGATGCCTCGGAGGGTTAATTATTCACATCGTTTATCAACGGTGATGACTTTTTAAAAAAAAGGAATTTTTTTTCTTGGATTTTGTTGAACAAAATGATTTAATAAACCACGTTTGGTTAAGAATTAGTTGCCAGGATAATTGATTCGGTCAATTTTAATTTCTCGGTCGCGTATTGGGTCGTTGCAAAGGTAGTTTCGGTTTTTTCGTAAGTTAATTATATGGAAAACCGAAATTATTTTTGCAACCGACCCGGTAATTTGTTCCAATTTTTTAAATTATTGTTTCAATTGTATGCAATGCGTTCAATTATTTTAGCTATTTGAAATTTCTAGTTTTATGATTTTAAATAATATATTATTATTGTGATATATCGGTTTCAATGATTGGTACAATTCAGTTCAACGTTTCATTTTATATTGTTAAAATAAAAATTGCGATCAATTTTCACTTTGTCGTTTTATGTTTACTGAATTAATTTTTATTTATTTATTGATTACGATGATTGATGTAGATCACTAGGATTTATTTAAGCCCAGATAATTTCCATGGAAATTAGTAATGGAAATTAATAACGGAAATTAATAATGGAAATTAATAATGAAAATTAATAATGGAAATTAATAATGAAAATGAATAACGAAAGTTAATAACGGAAATTAATAATGTAAATTAATCATGGAAATTAATAACGAAAATTAATAACGAAAGTTAATAACGGAAATTAATAATGTAAATTATTTAAATTAAATTAATTAGTTAAATTAATTAGTTATTTAATACAACTTAACGAAAATTTGAATATTTATTAAGATTCGATTGCAAAATAAAAATTCGTTCTGACTGACATTTAATATTTCGTGATTTTGATCACGTGGGGCCGCGGTTTTAGAAAGTAACGGCGTATCTGTAGCGACGCATTGTGCAGCAACACCGAAACGGTCGATTGATTGGTGTAACTTCGCGGAAATTAGATAATGTCTTTACTGTATTCGGAACGCGCGTAGCCGAAGACACGCCGGCTTTAGAGTAAACGCGAGTCAGGGGTTAAGTGTTTGCACGGCTCACTTGGAGGATCCGCGAGCACCATTCTTGCCCGTGGCTACCCATAAATTCCGTTGTATGAACCGTTAACGAATCGGGGACAATTATTTAATCGGGTAATACGGCGTTGAGGTCACCGCGCCGCGCCACGACGCGCCGGTGTTGTCTGCAATTTTAAAAGCGTGTTTCTTAACCGCTGTCTGAACGCTCAAGATCGTCCTCTCTAAGCTATTCATAAATAGTATGAATACTGTAGGAAAAATAATTTAGAAATATAAGAAAAAAGTTTCCATTTTCTATACATTATATGATAAACATTTTTTGTAGCTAAAGTTTAAATGATTTTATAAGTAGTATTAAAATTTTCCAGTAGTATTAAAATAATTATAAGATATTAGTTCCATTGTTAATATTTCTAAACTGTTTTAATACTATTTTCATACAATCTTGAATTTCTAAAATTTAAGACCATTTTGAATTATTAAAATTTAGAACTCTCTCTCTCTATTTTTAATTATTAAAATTTAAGACTACTTTCAATTACAAATATTTAAGACTATTTTCAATTATTAAAATTTGAAACTATTTCCAATTATTAAAATTTAAGACTACTTTCAATTATAAATATTTAAGACTATTTTCAATTATAAATATTTAAGACTACTTTCAATTATAAATATTTAAGACCATTTTCAATTATTAAAACTTAAAACTATTTTCAAGTATAAATATATAAGAAAATTTTGAATGATTAAATTTTAAGATAATATCAAATGATTAAAATTTAATGCTATCACAAACGATTAAACCAATATTAAAATCGTCTAAAAATATTAACAATAAAAACAGCACTTCCAAACTATTATATTAAAAGCATTAGCAATGTAAATTAAATTTAACACCTGTTCGTCTGCTGGGAATGAGGTAAAGAATGTTTCTCTTGCATAATAGATCCACGGACGAATAATCACCGACAATTTCTGCGGCAACTTTGCGTTTTCTTTTTGTTATTGGCATCGCGACTAACGTCTGGCAAACCCAGCGGTTACGTACGTACGAATTAATCGAAAGAAACGCGCGTGTATCGAGCAGGATGAAAACTCGGTCTGGGTACGCATTTCACGGTCAGTTAGCCAATATGTCCCCGCGTGTGGTGCAGACGTTGCCTTACAGCCAGTGAAAGCGAGTCCGTCGCGAAGGTGATATTATTATGGACGAATCCTTTGCGTTCCGAGCAAATTGTCCCGAAAAATTGGGTTCGTGCACGAAACACGAGGATCGATATTCCTTGTGCTGCACGAACGAGCTTTCACTTGGCGTATAAACAACATTGAAATCACGAATGATATGTCGTTTGGTATCGATGCGACCGATATATCGTTGACTATTGATATATTATTAAGACGATCGATATGTAGTTTATTATAGATATGATTATTATATCGATAAATATCAATGTATTATTAATATGATCGATATATCGTTTAATATCGATAAGATCGTTGTGTCGATAAATATCGATATAGTATTGATATGATTGATATATCAATAAGTATCGATATAGTATTGATATGATTGATATATCAATAAATATCGATATAGTATTCATATGATCGATACATCGATAAATATCGATATAGTATTAATGTGATTGATATATCGATATAGTATATTAATATGAACGATATATCGATATAGTATTAATGTGATCGATATATCGATATAATATTAATATCATCGATATATCGATATAATATTAATATGGTCGATAAATTGATATAATATTAATATGATCGATATATCGCTTAGTATCGATATGATCGATATATCATTGTTAAGTATCGATATTTTTCTGTTGTATTATCGATCTGATCAATGTATCCTTAAATATCGATTTATTGAAAGTTAAAATCATGATTTATTTATCTACTTGTTGATTTATACATC